TGTGTTTCAAAAAGGGTTAGTGGAAAATATATGCCTAAAACCTATCATGCTAAACTTTGGTCTTTTAGGAGCCTACATGAGTTGAGACAACTTTTCATAGGATGAAATCAAGTTATGCTTGCTGAATTTTGTGTATTTGCTATATTTTGTGTATTTTCTGGTTTTGTGTATTTCCCTTTCTGTAGTCTCCTTTCTGTTAATCAATCATCTTCCATGCTGTTCTGGAGAGTCCTCCAGCTATTTTAAATTAATTCCAATAATGGAATTGCAGCACTGAATTCCACCCTGAATGTAAACTATTAAGATTACACTTCAGAGGATACTTCTGGTCAATGCTCAGTGGAGTACAGAGGTGGAGACTATGTATCCCTCCCAAGTTGTTAACCTGCATTTCACAGAATTACCCATGCTGTCTAGGAAGATTCAGTCTATATATGAAGGACCATGGAGTTCTTACTTGAATGGCAACTTGAATGAGGTATGAATGTAAATTTGAGCTTGTCTTGAGTAAGTACAATGACTTGTCCCCTAGATTTTGTTTTTTTTTTACTAAAAAGATGCTCTGGATACTCTTGAAAACTTCAGCCTTCATGGTCTGAACCTTTGTGCAGAATCTAGAGTAGAGATTTTCTGGGCTAAGATGTAAACAATTGCTCAGTATGAAGGATCGTGCCTCTGTGCAGGTGGTTGATCCTTCACAGCCATGCAGTTTTATCAGATCAGCTTGCACATTATCAGCTTCAGTCGAATTTGCTCTTAATGCCTAATTTTGGTCTCAGGCCTGTGGGATTTGGGACACATTTATGACCAGTTCATAAGAGCATTTTAAATGGATTATTAATGTGAATTCTACACAGTTAACCAGAGGAAGCAGTGCTCTGTAGCCTCTTTTTTTTACAGTGCATCCACAGTTATGCAGGGTCACGATGACAGCACATCTGTACAGACTATATTTTAAACAGCTGTCCTGATCCAACCTCTTTCAGTCTTGGATCCCAGCAGAATAACAAAAGTTGATTTTTGCAAGGTAATTTACACAATTTCCATATTTTGAAGCATCTCTAATAAAGTCCTGAAGGAAATTACCATGCATACTTGTATATAAGTAAAAAAAAATTGACAAAAAACTGTGTCGACTTTATACCCATATCAGTCTGAGCACCTCTTTCCCCTGTGGCATCACTTCTAGCCTTTGTGAATGCCTGGGCAGAAAAGAGCCAGTGAAGACATTTCCCACTTGTTTTCTCACAAGTAAACATCATTCTCCCCAGTGAGGGTGGCCCAATTGGGAAGGAGCTTCATCAGTCCCTGGAGGAAGACAGCAGCAAAGGGCATAACTAAAACTGAAGCACTAGTCATATATATTTCACAGTACACCATGCCTTTTTGAATGCCTGAGCAGAAAAATGGTAGCAGCAGCAGGCAGGAGCAAACTGGCTCCTTGAGGCACACCCCCCTCTCTCTGAAATGACCCTTTAATTATGCATGGATCATATACAAATCCATAATTTTGAACTCAAAACCTGCTTTTGACTTCTACACGAGGCCAACTTACTCATGAGTATATATGGTAACACAAATGCCAAATCAGCCCTTGATTATGGGTCAGTGTAGACCCACCGCTATTTGATGAACAGCAAGCAGAAGCTGCTTTAAGTTATGACTGCTGTGGGATTTCAGTGGCCTGAGGTCAGCATTAATTTGCCTTTATAGACAATAGCCTTCATTTAGGCATTTACTGAAAAGTCCAAAGCCATCACACAAGATTCATTTTGACGAAGGGAAAGGGAGCCTAGGTGCCATTAAGGCAAGTGCACATATCTCTCCCTGGATATATTTTTGTAAAAGCAGGAGCAAAAGTATGCTGTTAGAGGAAAAATGTGCAGCCTTCCCATTGCCATCTGTATATCATTGCAGTTGGTAAATAAGCATAGAACAACAAATTAAAAATAATAATCAGAAAATGTTCCTCATTGTCCCTGCCTCCAAAAGTTTGAAGCCAGTTCTTATTTGAAAAAAAATGTTAATACCAGTGCTACTGGGAAATTAATTACACAAGTTGGAACAGTTCTCTGTCTGGATTGCTGTTTCTGTGCTAATTCAACAATTTGAATGGTGGATTTATTTTATCAACACATTGAAAGACAGCACATAGTTGGCTTTTAACCAGAGTTACCCATGGAGAACATTGCTAAATGTTTGGATTGTTTTCACTGCAAACCAAGGAATCACATCTGTATCATTGCCTTATCAAAGCTAAAACATTAACCTTTGTTTCTGCAAGATTTTCTAGCATAGTCAGCAACTCAAGTGATTTTGCCTCAAGTATTTTGTTGTTCTGTACATTTCACATCCTTCCAGTTCCAGTCTCATACTTCAGTACTTCTCATTGGTTTTTGAGAATATTTTATGTAAATAAAACAGGGGAGAGGGTGGTAGCCAATGATTGATTTAACTTTAAAAATGAAAACAAAACTGAGACAGTCATTCAGAGTGATGACAAGATAGGCAGCGATTATCTGGATAGTCATATCCGCAGTTATTCCTGTATAGATATTAAACACGGAAAAATTGTTCTGGAAGGGTAATAAAGTCGAAGTCTGCACCATAGCTGACCCTTTATGGACCCACACAACTGTTCTTTGATTTCCACCATGTGATGATTTTTTTGCAGTTCATTGTTCATACAGTATACAAATACAAGATTGGATCAATACCAGTCCAGCAATTCTGTTTTTTTTTAAAAAAAACAGAGTAGTTTTTACCTGTGTAAGTCTAACCTCTTTTTTGTATCCATTTCCATGTGGCTTTCTAGTGCAAAGCAAAAATAAACGAATGCAAAATTTTATTTTGTAATAAATGCATAAATAGAACATAGACAACATAGAAAGGCTTAATTGTCAAATCACATCTTTGTTGCAGGAGAGCAAGTGGGCTAAAAGATGCTACAGAAATATGCCCTTGCATGCTGCTATTTCCTTTCTTGTATGGCCTTCTTTTGTGTTTTGGGAATTTGCCATTTCTTAATTACAGTACCAGAGGAAACTTTTGCTTTATGTGCATCAGATGAGGTAGATCTTCACAGATCCATCACCAAAGGCTGATCTGGCATGCCGAATGCCAGCTTGGCCCTCAGTATGGTCCAGATAGGGACTCCCCCAGTTGCTGTGGGGGTGGGAGGGAATCATCACTGTCCACTGGTGCCAAACATGGTCTGGCACTGTTCAGTGGCCGCCTTGACTGTCCCTTCCACACATATCTGTCATGACGGTCTCTGGCCACAGCACAAGTCCTACCTGTCTGCCATCACATGCTGTGGTGTCAGCTAAAAAGACAGGGTGCCAATGGAGCAAGGAGAAGAGAAACTCCCTCCTCTCCAGCCTTCCAGATTGCTCTGTTGTCCCAGCCAAGAGCTCTGCATGCAATGATGGAGAGGTAGGACCCGTGTCACAGCTGGAGATTGCTGCAACATTAAGAACAGGGGAAGGAAAGGGGAATGCCATCCCATGTCCTTGGGGTATTCAAGCCCAGGAAACGCAAGATGGTAGTGGGGATAGTTGCATTTGGTTCCTTATCAGAAATGGCCTGACTGTTCCACAGACCCTAGGTCGAGGGAAAGTTCAAATTCTGTGGCAGATTTTCAGACTTTTTCTCCAACTTAGGGTAATGTGAAGCAAGACCTTATTAACGTGGCTTTGTTTCACATTACCTTGGATTAGTTCCATGCATCATTCGCCTGCCTTGGGGCCAATTCAACTCTACACTGACCTAAGTGTAAGTGATCACTGTAGATGGGGCTACAGTGTACAGAGGCTTCTACAAAATTATTTGGCAAAGAACAGTATTTAGGAGAAGCAATTCCCTGATTTTTAAAACTAAGGCTTATATTTTCTCAAAAAGCAGAGAATGTCAATTGAATTGAGTGAATGTGTTGTTTTTGTAATAACTTATGGTAGATAAACAAGGTACAAAATGTGCACTTCTATTCTTAATCTTAGCTCTTTGGACCTAAATACTTTAGTGTTTAAGTGTCCATTGTTCACACCAGACTCTCGTAAATAAGCCAACCACCCATTTATTTGTTGATTGCTTTGGAAGAAATGAAGTCTGAGCTTATTCTTACCTGAGACATGTTACTAATTCCATTATTTTCATTGTGAGTCCATACTTCACCAATTGTCTAGTAGGAGAGAAATACATATATTTCTTGGAGTGGTATGCCTTGAGCTTCAGCACAGTTGCAGCATTTGGATTATGTTGATCTTCACTCACAAATACATTATGAAGAAAGAAATGGATCATGAGCACTGCATCTGCAAGGCAAACACATTCATTACTGAAAACTATCTACCTAATATATATTTATATCAATGAGCTTCTGCCAGGCATAATGAGAAATCCAGGGTTGGTCCAGAAATTTGCAAGCCGGTTGACACAGTGAAGAGATGTCAAGATTCATTAGGAATAGCAATGGCTCCAGGCACTCAGACTCTGGAGATTGGGAGAGAAGAGATAATGATCTCAGCAAAGTTTTAGTAGGTCAGTCAACCAAGAAGGAAGGGTTGGGCAACCACGACATAGCTGGCACCCTACAAATCTTAGTCAAATGCCAAGCTTCTCCCTTTCTAGAAACCACTGTTGGGGACAACAGGAGTGGAGAACATGAGCACAAAGCTGTAGCATCAGCATTAGTCTGTGGGTTGAAATTCAAACGTTTGCCTTCCTCGTGTTTCTATGTGACTATGGCACCACGCCCTAAACTCAAACTCACAGATAGGTGAACGGAGCACTGTACAAACATGCAAAGTTGGCCCCCGCCCCTTTCCTTGCATTCCCTTCCTGTTGTTTTCTCTTAAATTTCCCTTGAGACGCTTTGCGTGAACCTGTTCATTCCCACTTTACTCCAGAGAGGCAATTGTGGGTGCTAAGCAAACCTAAGAAGACCAGAGGCTTGGGAGTGCAGCTAGGTTTGCTTCTTTTTTGAGACCAACTTCTGATTGCTGCTTTCACATGCCATTTGTTTGCTGCTTACGGAGGACTGGATTTGTCAGTTTCAACTAACATCTTAGCTTTCCAGTTGCTTTGCTGCTGAGGATTAACTCTTTCTCTGCGGATCTGCATTTGAGACGAAACAAAAGCATCGGCTAATGCCAAGGATGAAGATGCTGGGCACCGGTGAGTTTGCACAGTGAGGGGAGCCGTTTGGGAGGATTGTGCAGCTTTCTCCCCTTCAGGGATTATTCTGGAAAAAGAAAGGAAACTGAAAGCTGAACTCCTTTGGGAAGGCCTTTACTCCATCTTCACTCCTGTAACCCAGCAACAACCATCCACCAATCAGCTTTGCTCAATGGCTGAACTAGAGTTTGCTTGCAGTCCTCTCTTCCTTCTCCTTTGCAACTGTCCTCCCCGACATCATTACCAGAAGGCTAATCTCCTTTCTCACCCTGTCATCTTCCAAGTCCTGTAGGAGATGAACCTGCAAGTATATATGTTATGTGGTGATGTGGTAACTGTATTTTTGAGGTGGGGAGTGGCTGGCTCTGTAAACTGTCAGACGATGCAGAGTGTTGAATGAAAATTGCATGGTTGTAGCTGACATGGCAGCAAGGAAGGAGTTAAAGATGGCCCAACTGATGCTTCATAAAAGCAGTCAGTGCGTAAGAAATATGTCTGCCTACTGTCTGTATATATACAAGAAAATACCCATCCATGTAGGCAGGTCTCTCTGCCTGAAGGGCAACTGCTATGCACACCAATTTCAGATTTACTAACAAAAGTAGTTGCTTATCCTCCTGAGATGCTCTTGTCTGCCAGAATTGTGAGCAACCTGGTTTTATTTGTAAACTGCCAAGCAATTGAAAAATGCTGTTTAAACTCTTTGGTATGATTTCATAGGCAAGGCTAATCCGTATATACTATAATCAAATTATTATTGTGAAATTCTATGGTTTCTCTTTGTGTGTGTACATACTTGTCCCATGTGGGAACTGTCCACTAAGATTTGCTGATGGTTGCATGTTTTTTTTAAACAGGCTTTGTTAAGGATTTAGTGTGCTCTGAGACCAAAAAGTGACGAAACAACAAACTATACAACTGGTAAGTGATAACTTCAAAGTGTGACTGAGAGACTTGCTAATGGGACAGATACCTAAAAGACTGTATTGGGGGCATGCTTCCAATTTCTGTGGATAAATGTGGTTTGTGCCTTTTACTACCGTGCACAGATAGTAAGGTCCAGTTCAAAGGGTCAAATATTGTCATGAGTTGCCTTCTAAGGTATACATATATATGCCACACACACACACATACATACATACACACCCACACTCACTTCGGTATGCATACAGTTAAACATCAGAATGTACAAGTCTAGATTTGTACTCTTTTTCTAGAGCTTAAGACTAGAGCTAATGAATGACAATGAAGCTAATTCCTCCTAAACATCATGAGAAATGTTCTAAGGGCTGCTTCACAATAAGACAACTGCCTCAGTAGGTGGTGATCTCTCTTTTGCTGTAGATATTGAAAACTGTTGATCAGCTCTTCGGGCTTCTGCATCTCCAAAATTCTCAGAATGACAAGAAATTGGTCCAAGTTACCGCTAAAGTGCCTTCCAAGCCTAAAATTCTGTGATTCTACACACAAGGGTGTATTTGTACACCAGATGCATCCTCCTGTGTTTGGAGGGAAAGCACTGTAGAAAGGAAAGTCCTAGCCCAATTTACAGTTTAAGACATACCATTTAATATACTGCACTCCTGCCATGCTTAATGCAGACCATCTCTTAGCCCAGAAAAGTTAAGATTCCCTACCACCAATTTCTTTATTTACATTAGTCTGTTTGTGGAGGGACTCCCTCTATCAGTTATCAAATTCTTACTTTTTGCAGAGAATTCTGGGATGTGTTTATGCAGTGGGCTAATCCAGGTTTGCCTTAATTGTCTTTGCTCGCAACTAAAGTGTGTGCTAGAACTGGTTCCACATGAGCAGCAGAAGCGGCTGCACTTTATTAAAGAAGATGGTGATAATAAGCACTTTTCTGGGTTGGGTGGTTTCCAATATGTAACCAAGGCATCCTGAACAGTTTCTGAGGCTATCCAGTCTGCTAAGGAAACAGTTTCAGAAATATTACTTTAGTTAGTGTGAACTTTAAAGACATTTTGATTATAGTCAGTTAAAAAAGGACAGTCTAAAAGTGTCAAAACCTGCCTGAATTCTAACCAATCTTTCTGCAGACTAATATTATGCAAACATAGGATCAATTCACAAAACTGTAGTTCTCAACTTTCTTTGGTGCAAATAGTGTTTTATGATCAGTTTGCATCCTTATTTTATTTTATGCTATCTATAAAGTGACAGCTTTTTCTTTTACATATTTTATATTTCTAAGGTTTGTTCAAGCTAGAAAGCTAATTTATTTAGCAGTACAGGCAGTCCGTGAACCTACCTTAGCAATAGGCAAATGCCATAAAGGACAATCAGGGTTAATTTATAGCACTGTAGCACTCCCCCAGTTGTGAATGGTGTTTAATCACTTGTATGTGGTGAAGTCTGTGGAGAACTGACTCTTGTGATATGATTGTTTTCATTACATGGTTGTGGCCATGAGTTTATAGTGAGGCCATCCCATAGCTGTTTGCTTATGGATTTATTGATTGCCAAGCATCCAACAGCACAGATGTCACAATAAATCAGGGATGAGCAAAGTGAAGTTCTGTGTCCCTAGGATTATTTTTGTGACTCTTGAATCCTCCAAACTTGTCAGGCTGTTCTCTTTCTGATTATAAAAATGTGAATTTTCTCTTCTGAAAATTGTGAAAGGTGTGGACCCAGTTTGGAAGCGGAAAACTGTCTCTGAACATGGACTGCACAAGTTATTCCATGGTTAGGAAGTTATATCCTACTATCATTCCCACCCCCTGCCCAATAGTTTAGATTACTTTTAGCAACAGTCCCCTAAAAATAGTTAAGTACATTATTGTAGCAGGCATGTTTCTATAGAGAAGGAAATTTCATCTCCCTTCAGCAGTTTTGTTATCCTCCATTTAGTAAGGGGTGCATACAATACAATATACATATAGACAATATGTATATTTACAAACATATACACCTTTCCATAAGTCTTATTTATGCAAATAATAGAAAGCTCAAAAGAGCACAGTAGCTCTCAAAAGCTTGCTGTTGAGTGCCTTCATTTAATGGTGAAATAAAATAGTTTGAACATTCAGTGTGCAATGTTTCATCCATAATGACTAACATGGAAGTTGTCAGGTGCTGTTTCAGTGTGGTAAACATTAGCTGGTTTGTTATATAGTAACACATATTGATAAATAGTTATAGAATTAGACCTTATTTGTTGGTTTAGTATATATCTGAGTTTCTCTACTGTTTGTTTTTTCATCTAATTAGCTACACATTATGTACAAGATCCATGATTAGATATCCCACATTTTTAAAAAAATAGCTATGTGAATTTCTTATAAGACAGGCAGAGAAACTTTGAAGAATTATCACCAAATAGCAAATTCATAAGAGAGATTTAGACTTACAAAAGAGTGTGGGTGAACACTGGCTGAAGGATTCTGAGAACTATAGTTCATAAAACAGTAACAATATAATTTTTCCAGGCAATATTTTGAATATTGTGTTTTTCTAATAGAAATAATTCAACTTCATTACTTTATCTTAATTTTTTTCTGCTTTTTAAATTAAACCAACCAATATAAGCCGTGGTGGCACAATGGGTTAAAATCTTGTGCTGGCTGAACTGCTGAACTGCTGACCTGAAGATCGGCAGTTTCAATATGTGAGACAGGGTGAGCTCCAGTCTGTCAGCTCCATCTTCCCAAGCAGGGACATGAGAGAAGCCTCCCACAGGATGACAGCACATCTGGGCATTCCCTGGGCAACGTCTCAGCAAACGACCAGTTCTCTCACACCAGAAGTGACTTGCAATTTCTCAAGTCGCTTCTGACACAATAAAAACAAAACTTACAAAAGTTCATGAAACATATACACAGAATATACTAATTCAAGTTTCAGTAGAAACAGTTCAGACAAATTTCATACATTGAAACCAGAAACCAGGATAGAGCTCTGTAATATAAAGATAGGGAGATTTAAAATTCAGCAAAACCACAAGATCTTAACTGCTCACCTTGAATGTAAAAGAGTGCTATTCAAACTTTTTAAAGGTGAAAATTTAGTGTAACAGCCTCTTTGTTTATTGAATGTATATTTCAACTTTCCTCCAAAATAAGATTTTAAAAGTCTGTGTCTCCCTTGGCAATAATGTTCTTCTGAATTTGGTTAAACAAATAACACAGTCTCTACCATTGCATGCAGTAGTCAAGCAGGATCATCCAGATGGAAGAAGTTCTTCAAATACTCTGCTTCTGAATCTGTTGCATATTCTTCTAGCCCTTCTCCCATCTGTCCCCATAGTTGCTGACATAGTTCTTCATCACATAGGTGGTTGTGCTTTTCCTACATCCTTAATGGTGGCTGAGCTTTTCTATCAAACATGCCATAAGATTGGTAGAGATACTCCTGATGGGCTATGTCCCATAAAAAGAAAGCACATGAGGACCATGTATTAGTTCAATTCCTTACCATTACTTGTGGTTCTTTTAATGACACTGTTGCCCAGTATGAAAGGACTTTATTGACAGTATCTTCCATAAAAATAGAAGTGGTCTCAGATTTCTCTCTCTCTTTTATTGAGCTGCAGGCAGAGGTGGGTTAAACTGCTGAGCTGCTGAACTTGCTGATTGAAAGGTTGGCGGTTTGAATCTGGGGAGCAGTGTGAGCTCCCACTGTTAGGCCCAGCTTCTGCCAACCTAGCAGTTCGAAAACATGCAAATTTGTGTAGATCAATAGGTGCCGCTTCTGTGGGAAGGTAATGGCACTGCATGCAGTCATGGTGGCCACATGACCTTAGAGATGTCTATGGACAAAGTTGGCTCTTGGGCTTAGAAATGGAGATGAGCACCACCCCCAGAGTCAGACACGAGTAGACTTAATATCATGGGAAACCTTTACCTTAATTAATAATAATAATAATAATAATAATAATAATAATAGAGTGATGTTATCGATGTAAGCCCATTAGTGCTGAGCACAGTTGACTTCTGCTCATGAAACTAGTTATTCGTGAACTCGACTCTGGAGAAAAGTGGGTTGTTTAAAAGGACTGAAAGTGGGAGCTGAGACTGATGCAGCTTAAGGAAGGTATTTATGAGCCCTCTAATGGACTTTGAACAATGATCTGATGTTTTGATTTGTTTGACTAGATCTCAGGTAATTGCTTAGTACCAATTCACTTCCATTCACAACAGACAACATTAAAGCTGCATTTCAATTTGGGGAGGGGTGAAGAGTAGGGGAAAAACATTCAGGGCTTTACTGAAACAAGTCACAATAGCTGCTTTACTTCTGCAACAATGACAGAACTGCATTTGGTATCCACCATGTTTTCTTACAGTGCCTTAGTTGGAAATATACAGTGTAATTGCATTGCTGAGGCATCATTCAAGGTGCATTGTTAAAAAATAAAAAGATGGAAAATCTCCCTGGCTAGCCCTTCCCCCCCACACACCCTTTGGAACAGGCACAATACAGGATTGTTCAGTCTATGGCCCCATCTGCACTGCCAGTTCTATCCTGACCATATAATGCAGATTCAAACTGCATTATATGTCTGTGTAGATGGAGCCTAAGACAGGAGACAAAGTGCAGCCTATGGACAACATGTAAGTCCAAGCATTTTGTGGGGAGACTGTTAACACCTGTGTACTATTCCTTGGCCCTGAAACTCCCTTATATTATTTTTAACTGAGAAGCCTCTTGTGCCTTCTAGAAGTATAGCAGCAATTTCATTATAGTTACCTCCCACACTGTGAACTCTTATAAATCTATTGTCACTTCTGATTGGGGGGGGGGGGGTCTCTCCAAACCTATAACAACATGGAAGGGGGCAGATACAGTGAAATTGTATCCAACAGGGTGTACAAGGGGCCTTTTGGAATAAACTTGCAGGATGTTGGGACAGGTGTGTGTGTGTGTGGGGAGGGGGGTGGGTTTTTCCAAGGTTCATA